GATTGAGAAAGCAATAGGAGCATTAGAGTCGACATCCATGAATCGAGCGACATACCAAGGAGGAGCCGGAGAACGATATGAAATCAACCGACCCAAAGACCAGATTGAGAAAGCAATAGGAGCATTAGAGTCGACATCCATGAATCGAGCGACATACCAAGGAGGAGCCGGAGAACGATATGAAATCAACCGACCCAAAGACCAGATTGAGAAAGCAATAGGAGCATTAGAGTCGACATCCATGAATCGAGCGACATACCAAGGAGGAGCCGGAGAACGATATGAAATCAACCGACCCAAAGACCAGATTGAGAAAGCAATAGGAGCATTAGAGTCGACATCCATGAATCGAGCGACATACCAAGGAGGAGCCGGAGAACGATATGAAATCAACCGACCCAAAGACCAGATTGAGAAAGCAATAGGAGCATTAGAGTCGACATCCATGAATCGAGCGACATACCAAGGAGGAGCCGGAGAACGATATGAAATCAACCGACCCAAAGACCAGATTGAGAAAGCAATAGGAGCATTAGAGTCGACATCCATGAATCGAGCGACATACCAAGGAGGAGCCGGAGAACGATATGAAATCAACCGACCCAAAGACCAGATTGAGAAAGCAATAGGAGCATTAGAGTCGACATCCATGAATCGAGCGACATACCAAGGAGGAGCCGGAGAACGATATGAAATCAACCGACCCAAAGACCAGATTGAGAAAGCAATAGGAGCATTAGAGTCGACATCCATGAATCGAGCGACATACCAAGGAGGAGCTGGTGAACGATATGAGGTCAACAGACCTAAAGACCAGATTGAAAAAGCAACAGGAGTATTAGAGTCGACATCTATGAATCGAGCAACCTATCAAGGTGGAGCCGGAGAACGATATGAAATCAACAGACCCAAAGACCAGATTGAGAAAGCAACAGGAGCATTAGAGTCGACATCCATGAATCGAGCAACATACCAAGGTGGATCTGGTGAACGATATGAGGTCAATAGACCTAAAGATCAGATAGAGAAAGCAACAGGAGCATTGGAGTCGACATCGATGAATCGGGCGACATACCAAGGAGGAGCTGGTGAACGATATGAGGTCAATAGACCTAAAGACCAGATTGAAAAACTAACAGGAGCGTTCGAAAATACTTCCATGAATCGAGCAACATACCAAGGTGGAGCCGGAGAACGATATGAAATCAACAGACCCAAAGACCAGATTGAAAAAGCAACAGGAGCATTAGAGTCGACATCCATGAATCGAGCGACATACCAAGGAGGAGCCGGAGAACGATATGAAATCAACCGACCCAAAGACCAGATTGAAAAGCTCACTGGAACAATAGAGTCGACATCCATGAATCGAGCGACATACCAAGGAGGAGCTGGTGAACGATATGAGGTCAATAGACCTAAAGACCAGATTGAGAAAGCAATAGGAGCATTAGAGTCGACATCTATGAATCGAGCAGCCTATCAAGGTGGAGCTGGAGAGCGATAGAAATCAACCGACCTAAAGACCAGATTGAGAAAGCAATAGGAGCATTAGAGTCGACATCTATGAATCGAGCAGCCTATCAAGGTGGAGCTGGAGAGCGATAGAAATCAACCGACCTAAAGACCAGATTGAGAAAGCAATAGGAGCATTAGAGTCGACATCTATGAATCGAGCAGCCTATCAAGGTGGAGCTGGAGAGCGATAGAAATCAACCGACCTAAAGACCAGATTGAGAAAGCAATAGGAGCATTAGAGTCGACATCTATGAATCGAGCAGCCTATCAAGGTGGAGCTGGAGAGCGATAGAAATCAACCGACCTAAAGACCAGATTGAGAAAGCAATAGGAGCATTAGAGTCGACATCTATGAATCGAGCAGCCTATCAAGGTGGAGCTGGAGAGCGATAGAAATCAACCGACCTAAAGACCAGATTGAGAAAGCAATAGGAGCATTAGAGTCGACATCTATGAATCGAGCAGCCTATCAAGGTGGAGCTGGAGAGCGATAGAAATCAACCGACCTAAAGACCAGATTGAGAAAGCAATAGGAGCATTAGAGTCGACATCTATGAATCGAGCAGCCTATCAAGGTGGAGCTGGAGAGCGATAGAAATCAACCGACCTAAAGACCAGATTGAGAAAGCAATAGGAGCATTAGAGTCGACATCTATGAATCGAGCAGCCTATCAAGGTGGAGCTGGAGAGCGATAGAAATCAACCGACCTAAAGACCAGATTGAGAAAGCAATAGGAGCATTAGAGTCGACATCTATGAATCGAGCAGCCTATCAAGGTGGAGCTGGAGAGCGATAGAAATCAACCGACCTAAAGACCAGATTGAGAAAGCAATAGGAGCATTAGAGTCGACATCTATGAATCGAGCAGCCTATCAAGGTGGAGCTGGAGAGCGATAGAAATCAACCGACCTAAAGACCAGATTGAGAAAGCAATAGGAGCATTAGAGTCGACATCTATGAATCGAGCAGCCTATCAAGGTGGAGCTGGAGAGCGATAGAAATCAACCGACCTAAAGACCAGATTGAGAAAGCAATAGGAGCATTAGAGTCGACATCTATGAATCGAGCAGCCTATCAAGGTGGAGCTGGAGAGCGATAGAAATCAACCGACCTAAAGACCAGATTGAGAAAGCAATAGGAGCATTAGAGTCGACATCTATGAATCGAGCAGCCTATCAAGGTGGAGCTGGAGAGCGATAGAAATCAACCGACCTAAAGACCAGATTGAGAAAGCAATAGGAGCATTAGAGTCGACATCTATGAATCGAGCAGCCTATCAAGGTGGAGCTGGAGAGCGATAGAAATCAACCGACCTAAAGACCAGATTGAGAAAGCAATAGGAGCATTAGAGTCGACATCTATGAATCGAGCAGCCTATCAAGGTGGAGCTGGAGAGCGATAGAAATCAACCGACCTAAAGACCAGATTGAGAAAGCAATAGGAGCATTAGAGTCGACATCTATGAATCGAGCAGCCTATCAAGGTGGAGCTGGAGAGCGATAGAAATCAACCGACCTAAAGACCAGATTGAGAAAGCAATAGGAGCATTAGAGTCGACATCTATGAATCGAGCAGCCTATCAAGGTGGAGCTGGAGAGCGATAGAAATCAACCGACCTAAAGACCAGATTGAGAAAGCAATAGGAGCATTAGAGTCGACATCTATGAATCGAGCAGCCTATCAAGGTGGAGCTGGAGAGCGATAGAAATCAACCGACCTAAAGACCAGATTGAGAAAGCAATAGGAGCATTAGAGTCGACATCTATGAATCGAGCAGCCTATCAAGGTGGAGCTGGAGAGCGATAGAAATCAACCGACCTAAAGACCAGATTGAGAAAGCAATAGGAGCATTAGAGTCGACATCTATGAATCGAGCAGCCTATCAAGGTGGAGCTGGAGAGCGATAGAAATCAACCGACCTAAAGACCAGATTGAGAAAGCAATAGGAGCATTAGAGTCGACATCTATGAATCGAGCAGCCTATCAAGGTGGAGCTGGAGAGCGATAGAAATCAACCGACCTAAAGACCAGATTGAGAAAGCAATAGGAGCATTAGAGTCGACATCTATGAATCGAGCAGCCTATCAAGGTGGAGCTGGAGAGCGATAGAAATCAACCGACCTAAAGACCAGATTGAGAAAGCAATAGGAGCATTAGAGTCGACATCTATGAATCGAGCAGCCTATCAAGGTGGAGCTGGAGAGCGATAGAAATCAACCGACCTAAAGACCAGATTGAGAAAGCAATAGGAGCATTAGAGTCGACATCTATGAATCGAGCAGCCTATCAAGGTGGAGCTGGAGAGCGATAGAAATCAACCGACCTAAAGACCAGATTGAGAAAGCAATAGGAGCATTAGAGTCGACATCTATGAATCGAGCAGCCTATCAAGGTGGAGCTGGAGAGCGATAGAAATCAACCGACCTAAAGACCAGATTGAGAAAGCAATAGGAGCATTAGAGTCGACATCTATGAATCGAGCAGCCTATCAAGGTGGAGCTGGAGAGCGATAGAAATCAACCGACCTAAAGACCAGATTGAGAAAGCAATAGGAGCATTAGAGTCGACATCTATGAATCGAGCAGCCTATCAAGGTGGAGCTGGAGAGCGATAGAAATCAACCGACCTAAAGACCAGATTGAGAAAGCAATAGGAGCATTAGAGTCGACATCTATGAATCGAGCAGCCTATCAAGGTGGAGCTGGAGAGCGATAGAAATCAACCGACCTAAAGACCAGATTGAGAAAGCAATAGGAGCATTAGAGTCGACATCTATGAATCGAGCAGCCTATCAAGGTGGAGCTGGAGAGCGATAGAAATCAACCGACCTAAAGACCAGATTGAGAAAGCAATAGGAGCATTAGAGTCGACATCTATGAATCGAGCAGCCTATCAAGGTGGAGCTGGAGAGCGATAGAAATCAACCGACCTAAAGACCAGATTGAGAAAGCAATAGGAGCATTAGAGTCGACATCTATGAATCGAGCAGCCTATCAAGGTGGAGCTGGAGAGCGATAGAAATCAACCGACCTAAAGACCAGATTGAGAAAGCAATAGGAGCATTAGAGTCGACATCTATGAATCGAGCAGCCTATCAAGGTGGAGCTGGAGAGCGATAGAAATCAACCGACCTAAAGACCAGATTGAGAAAGCAATAGGAGCATTAGAGTCGACATCTATGAATCGAGCAGCCTATCAAGGTGGAGCTGGAGAGCGATAGAAATCAACCGACCTAAAGACCAGATTGAGAAAGCAATAGGAGCATTAGAGTCGACATCTATGAATCGAGCAGCCTATCAAGGTGGAGCTGGAGAGCGATAGAAATCAACCGACCTAAAGACCAGATTGAGAAAGCAATAGGAGCATTAGAGTCGACATCTATGAATCGAGCAGCCTATCAAGGTGGAGCTGGAGAGCGATAGAAATCAACCGACCTAAAGACCAGATTGAGAAAGCAATAGGAGCATTAGAGTCGACATCTATGAATCGAGCAGCCTATCAAGGTGGAGCTGGAGAACGATATGAGGTCAATAGACCTAAAGATCAGATTGAGAAAGCAACAGGAGCATTGGAGTCGACATCGATGAATCGAGCGACATACCAAGGAGGAGCCGGAGAACGATATGAAATCAACAGACCCAAAGACCAGATTGAGAAAGCAACAGGAGCATTAGAGTCGACATCCATGAATCGAGCGACATACCAAGGAGGAGCTGGTGAACGATATGAGGTCAATAGACCTAAAGACCAGATTGAGAAACTAACAGGAGCGTTCGAAAATACTTCCATGAATCGAGCAACATACCAAGGTGGAGCCGGAGAACGATATGAAATCACCAGACCCAAAGACCAGATTGAAAAAGCAACAGGAGCATTGGAGTCGACATCGATGAATCGTGCAACCTATCAAGGTGGAGCTGGAGAACGATATGAAATCAACCGACCTAAAGACCAGATTGAGAAAGCAACTGGAGCATTCGAAAACACTTCTATGAATCGAGAAACATATCAAGGAGGAGCCGGAGGACGTTATGAAATCAACCGACCCAAAGACCAGATTGAGAAAGCAACAGGAGCGTTCGAAAATACTTCCATGAATCGAGCAACATACCAAGGAGGAGCCGGAGAACGATATGAAATCAACCGACCCAAAGACCAGATTGAAAAGCTCACGGGAACAATAGAGACAACATCCATGAACCGTGCTACTTATCAAGGTGGAGCTGGAGATAGATTTGAGATCAAGAGACCCAAGGACCAGATTGAGAAACCAACTGGAACGTTAGATTCTACATCCATGAGTCGATCTACCTATCAAGGTGGAGCTGGAGAACGATATGGTATTAACCGACCGAAGGACCAGATTGAGAAATCAACTGGAGCACTAGAGTCGACATCCATGAGTCGATCTACCTATCAAGGTGGAGCTGGAGATAGATTTGAGATCAAGAGACCCAAGGACCAGATTGAGAAACCAACTGGAGCGTTAGATTCTACATCCATGAGTCGATCTACCTATCAAGGTGGAGCTGGAGAGCGATATGGTTCTAACCGACCGAAGGACCAGATTGAGAAATCAACTGGAGCACTAGAGTCGACTTCCATGAGTCGATCTACCTATCAAGGTGGAGCTGGAGATAGATTTGAGATCAAGAGA